CTTCTAGAAGCAGTATCTAGTCTTCTGCCAAAGTTATGTATGTTTTCTCCAAAATATTTCATCTTCCTTTTGTAGTATTTAGACCTGTTAGCAGTATCTAGTCTTCAGAAAGCAGTATTTAGTCTCCACAAAACAATTTTAGTCTTTAAAAAGCAGTATTTAGTGTTCCAGGCGCTATATTTAGACCTGTCGGAAGTATCTAGTCTTCAGAAAGCAGTATTTAGTCTTCTAGAAGCAGTATCTAGTCTTCTGCCAATGTTATGTATGTTTTCTCCAACAATATTTTATCTTTCTTTTGCAGTATTTAGACCTGTTAGCATTATTTAGTCTTCAGAAAGCAGTATTTAGTCTCCACAAAGCAATTTTAGTCTTTAGAAAGCAGTATTTAGTGTCCCAGACGCTGTATTTAGACCTATCGGAAGTATCTTGTCTTCAGAAAGCAGTATTTAGTCTTCTAGAAGCAGTATCTAGTCTTCTGCCAACGTTATGTATGTTTTGTTCTTGATACTGACAGCTACTTCTTTCTGGGGGGATAGATCATCATCTTTTTGGGAGCCTCTTATTATCTATACGGATCTTGTACCACCCGGTACCTCATTTCTGCAGCTGTTACTTTGCTTTTGTGCTTATCCTGCATTGCGAATTTTTAACAGCCGTACAAATATCAGTGCCCTTTGCAGTTGTTAGCAACGATTTGATTGCAATTAATTCTTCCTTAATGACGTTTCCAACGTGATATTGAGCAAAAACAGCTAAACGAGCAGATTTAGTGCTTTCGTCAAGACATAGCGATATAAAAGAAGCAGAGCTAATGTCAATTTTTTGTTGATCTGTTACATTTTCGGCCAGTTTTAAGATTCCTTCTTTTATTGTGTTTCTGGACAGAGGAGTATCTTTGATGCGCTGAATTATCTTATCTTTATTATCGAAAATGCTAACCAGACTTCCTTCAAAAACTCTCCCTCTTGAAAAGGTTTACTATGCCGTGCAATGACATTTGTAGCCGCATAACTATTTAGTCATAGATGTGGACTGTTTATTTCTGTCTTTCAATGCACTTGCAATTAATTCTTTTTGCTCTGGTTCGCTTTTTTGACTAACGGATTTGTGACTTGTCACCTTTACTAATCATGCCATATTTCTCTGTCTACCAAGTTTGAAATTCTCTGATACTCTTTCTATCTTGTACTTTTTGTTTTTTTGCTGAACTTGCCATATTAAATAATAGTTAAAATCATAGATAAAACTCAAATAAACTTCAAATCAAATATTCACTATTATGTTATGCATAAACAAACTATTATGTTATGCGTCAATAGCAATAAAATCGTCATATAATATCTACTTCACACTTTTTCGTAGTGCATCATAATGAATTTTGTGATCAGTGACGTGACTAGTGATGTAAGCTACTTTTTTTTATCTCTTTTACTTTCGGGGATAGCCTATGCGGACAACGAAATTGGGACACCTGTATAGGGTGGGCCAAATTGGACACTTTTAAAGGGAAACTCCTATTTCTATAAGAGATACAGAAAAAATGATATGAGTGTCTGAGGCTCGATTTTTATAAGAAACTTAATGGCGAAAACCGTATATCGATATCTCTTACGGTTTCAGAGATACAGGGTGTTTTCGAATAGTCGTCATAATTTTTTTCTTATTGATAAATCTTTTCTGTGAAAACATTTCCAAAGCAACTTTATGTCGAAACTTTAAAACTTATATGTGCAAATTTTGAAAAGGTAGGCTTTGGAAATAAAAGAAAAACGAGATTATTCGCAAACTCAGACTCCTTCGATAAAACATCACTTTGCTGACTTGGTATAAAAATAATTATTGTAACATGAATCTTAGTATTCATCAAACCATTTCATTTGATACCTCGCCCATAAAAATCGGAATGTAAATGACAAAGTTGGAGCGTTTTTTGTGCGACACCTGTATATTAAGATTAAACACTATTGTACGTATACAGGGGGTGTCCAATTAGTGCGATATCGGACGATATCTCCTTAGAGGGTATCGCTAGAAGAAAATGTTTATATATAAAGTTGTTTGGTGCTCAAAGGTTCATAACCTAAAAATATTTTTGTTTATACAGGGTGTTGCAAAAATGTATAATAAAAAAAGTTTGGTGATATGAACCATTTTATCATTTCGTCTAATCTAAACGATGCAAATGGGTTAAACAAACTCCTTTTTTACGCTTAACTATTTTCATTTAATTTTTAAGTAGAATTATTTCAATTTTTAATATTATCGTTTTTTTAAGGCTATGTACAGGCAATTGATGGAGGCTAAAAACGCCAAAAATAAGATCGACCCAGAAATAACACTGCAATTTTTAAAATCAGCAATTTACTACTTCTTAACTGACAAAGAAAATAGTCAAGGTCATCTAAAAGCGATCCAAAGCATTTTAGGATTCACCCCAGCCGAAATTAATCAAATTGATAAGAATAGAACTAATTAAATTTAAATATAAACGTATTTAAAAGTATTTTTTTTTTTGCACAGATATTAATATTAATAATTTAAGAGTAATTTAGCACAAGATATTTTTCTATATTATCAAATTCGTCCATTTTTGTTGTTTTAAGGTTCTTATTTTTATTTATTTAGTTTTTGTGCAATCATAGGAATTTCAATCATCTCTAGCTTTCAAATAGAAATGTTTTTGAAATTAATAAAAATGATATTGTTATAAACAAGGAAGAAAGAAATTGGTGTTGTTAATAAAAATTGTTTCTAAATCAAAAAAAAAAAAGTTTTATTCTCCTCCTCATAAACAAATTAACTTAACCATTAAAGTTAATTTAATTTATTTTTTACTTGATAGAATAATTCCATCATATTTCTGTTGGAACCATTTCATTGCATCCTCTTTAGTTAATCTGTGTGGATGTCCAACTTTCCCTTGCTTCCTCCTCCTATGGGCTACATTAAATCCAGGTCTCCCCAACACAACGAAAAAGTCCAAACCATAAATACCAATACTTGGGTCATATTTAATCCCTAAATCAATATGTTCTTGGATTCCAAACCCAAAGTTACCAGCGTCTGAGAAATTATCCCTTCTCAATTCGTATTCTCTCACTTTTAACCCACGCTCGAGGATTTCTTCAGCTTTGGCCCCCCTTACAGTGCAATGTACAGCAATTTTTTCATTACGTCTAATACCGAATGAACGAACGGTGTAACGTGCTTTTGAAAACACCGGTTGTTGCCCGGTTAATTGCTCAAGTACCTTTAATTAATTATTATTTAAAACATAACTTATTATTAATTAAAATTACTCACTTTTGCAGCCCTTGTTAATCTATCACCAGACTCCCCCACACAAATATTTAAACAAAGCTTTCTTATGTGCAAATCCCTCATTACATTTTTGGATTTGTCTTTAACTTCTTTCTTCTCTTTCTTTGCAACGGGCTAAAACATAAATAATTAAATCAACAATTAACATAACCTCAATTAATAATTTTTTTTTATCAATAAATCGTTATTAAAGCAAATATGAGTTAAATCTAAATCAATTAAAGTATATTTAAAGTATTATCTTAACAAAGTTAAGAAATAAAGCCGAAAAAAGGTGATTTTATGCGATTTTAACATAACCTCAAATTGGTTCAACATGACAACAACGATTATTTTATGAGTTTTTGAGAAAAAATTTTGTTGCAAATTAACGAATTTAGTACTAAAGGATGAGATTTAAGCGGAATTAATAATTTTAGGGCTTTATTTTTTAAGATGATTGCTGATTTAAGCGAATAAAAATAAATAACGCAAGTACTCACCGCCATGTTTGACTGGAAAAAGAGCTGTTTGACAGTGTCGGTAAAACAGCGTGCTTTTTATGAAATTAACGAAATTAACTTTTTGATATTTTTATTGATAAAATAAGTTTTATTTTGTTATTTATTATTTAAACGTTAAAAAATGATTTATATTTATATATAATTTATTTATATAAATTGAATTTAATAATCATAATCAAGGTTGAGTATCCATATGAACGCTGTTGTTATGAACGTATCCCCCCGACGTTGTGACGTCATTGGAAGAATTGATATTTCTATGTTTTTATTTATTTCACTTAAAAAGCAATACACAAAAATATTTAAAAAAATATATAAAATAAAATTAAAAAAATTAAAATATAAAGCGAAATATTAACGGTTATAATTTTATTTTTGTTAGGTTATCCAACTTGACTCTGTTACCATGGTGATTAAGATCCAAATATTGCAGTCAAGTTGCTTGTCAAAATTGACGTCGAATTTAAGTTTTTTTAATAAAAAAACACATAATTAATTGGATTTAAAGGTTGTATTTAATTCAAAATAGGTAAATGGACGAAATTATAAGCAAGGTAAGTGGATTAAATCGAAAAAAAAATATTTTTAGATCAATTTAGGGTTAAATAATAATTAAAACTACAATTACCGTTTTAGACTAGCGTCTTAGACACGAACTTAGAACAGTCTGAAGACACACGACTAAACCCGAATATTTCTAGGGTTAGTTCTAGTTTTACCATTGATTATACTACTCTATAGTATAAAATAGTCAATGGTTTTACACTAGCACCATCGCTAGAACTAACACAAGACCTAGAACTAGAAATAGTCGGGTTTAACCGTGAAAAAAATTTTCAGTTGTCAATGTCAACTTTAATTTTATTATTATAATCGTAATCTTCATAAAAAATCCTTTAAAATGAGTACAAACTCGACATATTTAACTTTAATATTAATGGAAATACAATCACTTCCGGTTTGAAACGTCAATTTTGACGTTTGTCAATTTGTCATTTTCATTAAAAAACCTTTAAAATGAGTCCAAACATGACGCACTTATCTCAAAAAACAAAAAAGTCAGAATAAAAAACGTTAAACCCGATGTTAGCAACAATGAAGATAGCAATTTAATTATTAAATATTAATACCAACCTTAATTTTTAATTTTTCTTTATTGTATTTTTATTTTTGTGATAAATTTTAAGAGATTTTATAAAAATTAAGAATTTGTTAAAATGACATTGACATTTCAAACCGGAAGTTGCTTATATTTTGACTAATATTTGAATTAAACGTATCATGTTTGGGCTCATTTTAAAGGATTTTTCACGACATTTACAAATATGTCAAAATTGACGTTGACATTTCTAACAGGAAGTTGACCATAACTTCATTAATATTGAAAATAAATATGTCGTGTTTGTACTCATTTTAAAGGATTTTTAATGAAGGTTACAAATATGTCAAAATTGAGGTTGACATTTTAAATCTGAACTTGGTTATCGTATAATAAACAAATGGACAACTTCATAGTGTTCTTTTATGATGTATTCTTTATTAAAAAACTTTTAAAATGAGTCCAAACATGACGCACTTATCTCAAAAAACAAAAAAGGTAGAATAAAAAACGTTAAACCCGAAGTTAGCAACAATGAAGATAGCAATTTAATTATTAAATATTAATACCAACCTTAACTTTTAATTTCTCTTTATTATATTTTTATTTTTGTGACAAATGTTAAAACATTTTATAAAAATTAAGAATACATATGTCAAAATGACATTGACATTTCAAACCGGAAGTTGCTTATATCTCGAGTAATATTGGAATTAAACGTATCATGTTTGGGCTCATTTTAAAGGATTTTTCACGACAATTACAAATATGT